AATCAATTTGATCATTTATTACAGCATTCAATTTAAGGATAATAATACCCTCTGGTCTATACTCAATTCACTGACAATGCTCATCTCCTTGATTCATACAAAAATAGGGCCAGAAAGGACTACAAGAGGTCATCTAGTCAGAACCTCTTACTAAAGGCTGGATCATACCTGTAATCCCAGATAGGTAGAATTAATTAAATTCTTACAACTTAAATTCTAACAACCTCTCTAGGTAATCTGTCACTCTCATAGTGAGAAAGTTCTTTCTAATATAGGGGTGGGCCGCATCCGGCAGGTGAGGGGCCACTTTTCCCCACGCTCATCACAAGCTTCTTCCCTGCTGGTGAGCACAGGGATCTGGGCTCTGCGCTGCCCTCAGGCTGTACCGCGGGGCTGGAAGGCACTGGGTGTGAGCGGGCCAGGAGCCAGTAGGAGCACAGGGCCCGCACTGGTGTCCAGGGGCCAGTGCCGGTGGGGCCCAGAGCAGGGTGGCAGGAGCACAGGGTCCCAGCTGGCAGGGGCTCTATGGAGCCAGGCCAGCTCCCCACTGCCTGCTGGAGCAGCCCACCCTAGCTCCACGGACCCCTGCCAGCCTGCGCCACGCTTTGGGCCCCGCTGGTGCTGACCCTGGGACACTGGTCCCCAGACATTGGGACGTTGGTCCCAAGATGGTGACCAGGGGGCGGGGCATCTGTCAAGGGGTGGGGCATCTGTCAAGGGGCAGGGCTATCTATGCGGCTCTCGACAGCCTTCCAAAACTGGGTAAATGGCCCTCTGCTCAAAATAATTGCCCGCCCCTGTTCTAATATCTAACCTACATCTCCCTTGTTGCAACTTAAACCAATTACTTCTTATCCTCTCTCCTGCGGACACAGAACAATTGATCCCATCCTCTTTTAATAACAGTCTTCAGACACAGAAAGCTGTCAAATCCCACTCAGTCTTCTCTTCTCTAGACTACGTCATCCCAGTTTTCCTCACATTCTAGCCAATTTAAACCTCCAAGTAAGTTTTCATCAGACCCTATGAGATACTTCAGTGAAAGTTAGACCTCGAATTTACTGGAACCAAAAAAAGTAAAAATTTTTGTCTGGCATGATTTTTCCTGATCGTGTTTTTTTAATAACCTACATAATATTACTCCTTGTTGTTCCTGGCTCTGATATTCTGTGAGCGCTTTGTAATGTTTTCCTGTTTCTTTTTTGCGGGGAATTTACTAAATTAGATTTACCAAATGGTAGATTTCAGGATCACTCTTTTGTTTTCCAGATACTTGGTACCTCATCTGTTATTTTCAAATCCTTTGGTGCCTCCTCAGTTTCTCATGCCTTGCAAAACAGAAAATGGAGCAGTTTGTTTGTTAGCTAACTCCCTAAAGAAGCTGTGGGATGCATGTGATCCAGACCTTCAATTCAATGTCTAAGTATTTCCTTACCCGCTTTTTTTTTTTTTTTTGGCAATTGCTCATTTACAAGACTGTCAATGTTACCTAATTATTCAAACTTTCCCTTTCCTTAATTTTCTTCTCACAGATATATTTGAGTAGCTCAGACATTTTGGCATTTCAGCCTCTTCCTCAGTAGTGGACTTCTTTACTCACAAGCATTTCTTTTCCTCCAGATGTATTTGTATCTGTATCTCCCTTAATCCCATTGGCATTAATTTATTTGGCATTTTAGTTGCCTTATCTTTTAACTGTGCACTCTTGTCTGGCTCCCTTCCTTTTCATTCTCAGTACACAATTTTTGTTTGATTGTTGGGATTTTAGCTGTTTTATTTTTTAAAACCACATCTTTAAACAGCCTCTTCTTATAAAACTACATTCTCCAAGTCTTATATCCCACATAGAGTCATAGAGAAGTAGGGCTGGAAGGGACTTCCAGAGGTCACCGAGTGCTCTTTTTTCCCCAAAGACACTGTTGAGTTTTGGGCCTTATTGGATTCATACAGAAGTGGCATGCGTTGCAGCCCCTTTGATCTTGCAGGTTCCTCCTCCCTCCCTTCCTGCTCCCCGCTGACTGGTGGAGGGGCCCCGCTTGCAGCTTGCTCCTGACTGGCAGGGAAACAAAAACTGTGGTTTTAAATATGGTGCCATTTTGACTCCCTGATCAGCTGCAAGCAGTGGGGCTGCCAGGGACCCTCAGCCAATCAGCGGTGGGAGGCAAAAACAGTACCATATTTAAAATTGCAGTTTTTGCCTCCCCACCAATCAGAAGCGAACCATAAGCAGGGCTCCTCCACCAATCAGCAGCGGGATGGGGAAGGAAGGGGTGCCACAGTACATGCCACTTCCTCCATGAATTCAGTAGGGCCTTAATAATAGTGTACCATAGGATTTCCCTAGCACCTTTCACAATTTTAGTAATTCCTTCAGAGCAGTTTCCCCCCACCCAATATTTTCTTGAAATACATTCTCTTCCTATCAACACAAAAGGGGCTTCAAATGTGGACTGTTTCCCTTTGCAGGCAGAGCTTTAAGATGGGGGCATAAAATCCACTAGCTTCGTTTCATTCCTTACTATCCAGCTATAAAAGGTAGCTGATGGCAGCGATACATTTACAGCATTTAAAGAAGTCAAATTACTCTCTGGGAATGAAGATCTTGCTTTTGAACTTCCAAAAGTCAGAAATGTACCTGAATGAGACTACTATAAAACAGTTTTTTTTACCCACTGGAGTCATGATATATCTTTGACATTGGGCCTTGTTAGGATGCTACATCAATTCCAGATCAGAAGATGGGCAGTGAGGGATGCACATATGTTTCCACATGCCCTCTTCCTACACAAACTGCTTCAGACAACATATGAACAATTCAGATAACTACACAGCAGGACATTAAGGGCATGTTTCCACTGCAATGGTAGCAAGCCCCAGTGGGGTCACTTCTAAACGTGCCCTGCCCACCCACTCCCACACATATGCTCCACCTCCAGGAAAAGCCCAGTTGAGATGTTCCAAGAGCTGCTTTGAAGCATACTAGAGCTTGAAGGCCTGAAATCAGGTGCTGGGGCCAACCACAGAGCACCTTCATTGGTGTATTTATGGTTTTGGAACAGGCAGGTGCAAGCAGGAGGGCTGGATGTGCTCAGGGATATCCAGGGCAGGACTATTGCCACTGTGATGTAGAGGTGTCCTAGATTGCACAGAAGTAGCTATCTGTACTCAGGTGGAATTCAACTACATGTTTCAGGTATGGGCAAAGACAGCTGTGGCACTGTAGGAACCACTGACACAGGAAGTGGAGACAGCTGAAAATTTCTGTGATGCCCAGGAGGCTAAGAGAATAGCAGGTTGTGCAGTTCAGTAATGGAAGGCTAGGCTTAGCCATGAGAATAATCTTTAACTAGCTCTGTGACTTGGGGGAGGAACCTTTTCATGGATTACAACATTGACAAACTTACCTCATAATTGTACTTGTACTTCAGGTTCCAGCGACAGATGGGGCACTGACCAGAAGGGTTGGGAGGAGCTGATGCTTCAGTATGTTCTATTATTTTGCCTTCAATCTAGGAAACAAGTTGAAGGATAAAGTGATCATGTGGAAAGCACAGTCTAGGCTTATGCATGCCTTTGGGGAGCTAAAGAAGGTCTGTTACTTGAGATCCAACAGCATGCTCAGCACTGTATAAGGAGATAACCCCCAGACCGTGCATGTTCTCAAATCTAACTCTAAATCAGTGGTTACCAACCAGTGGATCTTGATCCACCAGTAGATCTTGGAGCCTCTTGTGGTAGATCTCAGAGCTTCTTGGAGTTGATTCAAGGCTGGGGTTGGGGGCTGAATGCCCGTGTGCATGCATGTGCACGCCCCAGCCCAGCAGGTCAGTCCATGGGGAAGGGAACAGGCGGGGGCTAGATTGAGGTCCCCGCAGTGAGGGACAGTACTGTAGAGGCAGGAGCAGGGGTAAGTTGAGTGGGGCCCCGGCCAGGTGTGACTTACTGCTGAGGAGGTGCGCCCCCAAATAATTTTTTCCCCTCTGCCTCGATCTGCCTCCCCCCCTTCCCTCCCGACAGACTTACCTGCTGGGTGGGGGGAGGGTGCATGGTAGATCTTGGGTTGCTTTTAAATGCCAAAGGTGATCTCCTACTTTAAAAAGTTGGAGACCACTGCTCTAAATTATATAATGATACTCCTATCCTGCCTTTAGAAAAATATTCCATGGTCTAGCACATCTCACTGCTAGGTGGTGTTTCCTGACTTTGCAGCTTAAGCCCTCTTAAAGAAACCTGCAAATGAAACGGTGGTGGGTAGAGGTTTAGGGGGAAAAAAAAGAGGTGCGGGCATTATTTTTAAAAAAGTCTTCAGCTCTTGAGCAAGAATCCTCTCAACTTTTAGCTGAATGGAAAGATAAGGTTAAACCTAGCAGAGCTTTTCTCCAAAATTAGTCAAAAAGTTTCATTTAAATAGTTGAATCATAGTTAAAAAAATTGAGCTCTATAACAATAAGTTGTATCTCAGCTATCAATGAAAAGTTAGGAAGGCAGTAGGACCTCAAGATGGCAGGAACATAATAAAAGCATGGATAATTAAAGCCTTGTGCCTTTTATGCACAGTTGGGCCAACAATATTAAATTTGTATGCCAAGGCTATGCCGAAAGCAAAGACTTCTTAAGTACCACTTCAGGGGCCTACTAAATATCACTCAGTAAATTTGTTTGCAGTAGCGAAAGCCTATCTAATTCTAAATGTCCGATACAGCTTATTCCTCCCTCCACACATTGTGAAGGAATGCCATGTTACTTTGTCAGAAAAAAATTAGCAGATTCAGACTGCCTGCTTTCAGACTCTGTCAGTGCAGTGTAATATCAAGTGGAGACAAATATTAAGTTTTCTGCAGCTGAGCCAGTGTCACTCATTGTGGTATGAGTTTCCAGAAATGCCTTCTACCACAACCAATGCTTGGGGTCTCTGCCATTTTTGCCTAGTGACTTCCACATGGAAACAATAGGGTCTGTTGTGGGTGGAACAACTCCCATCTCTCTCCAAAAGAGAACATGCTGCCAATTTTGCTAAGTTAGGTTTTGTTCAATTTGTGGTCATTCAAAAACCCTATCTTGAAGCTGAGAAGCTAGCCAAGCAAAGGCTGGTACCTAATCTTTTATTCCTGGGTAAGGTCATTTTGTGGCAAGTCAACTTAATAGTTTCTGGTTGCATCGTAAGCTTTGATTGTTGTCAGGCTGGGTTCAGACCTGATGATAGTAAAGACTGCATTAGTTGCTTTGCTGAATGATTTCATCCTGGGAACGGATATAAATTTCACCCCTGTGTTGATACTATATATAATTCCCTCTCGGAGAAAGTAGAGAGCGTATTATTATTTTATTTTTTTAGCTACTGCTCCTCCACTTCTGGCTACTATCATGTGCAGTTACCCCATATACTCACCGTGCATAGTGGCTCAGTGGGAGGCATAACGAGGCAGCACAGGCTGTGCACTTCCAGTATGCTAATGAAGCCCTGCCCTCTTGCATCTGAGATTTATTCAGCAGATAAACAGTAAATATGTCCCCCAACACTCAATAAAGACTGAAGCACAGCTGAGGACAAGCTGGCTGAAACTGCATCCAGGTAAGACTGAAGTAATGTTGATAGGGTGGGTCAAGTAGCAAGAAGTATGGCAGGGATTATGTCTGTCTCTGTAATTGATGATGAATGTAAACCATTTGTAATGAGATTCTGTGACTATCAATGGACCTTCCACTGCTACTGAAAAATTATACATCAGAAGTTGTCAGGATCTCCCCCGGTTCTACATCTGGCCAGACAGTTGTGACCATTTTATCCATTTTGGACACATTTTGTTATCTCAAGTCTAAATGATTCCAACATACTCTCTCTAGGGAGCACATTTCCTCTGTGAAAATAAAGACCGTGTAGAATTCAGAAATCCATCAAAGTGAAAGCCACTTGTTTATAAAAGAATAAACTGCTTTTAACATGGTGCTCTCCCTAAGGACATTCCAGTTTTGGGATTCATTCTCCCCACTGGGTTGAAAAAGTCTCAGACTATGGACCTTCCAAGCATGCTGCTCGATCCTCTTTTGAGGGAGAAAAGACAGGTCTCACCATTCCCCAACTTCCTTGGTTGCTTTTACTCATCAGTCTCACATCAAAGGTATCTAGCAGCTTGGATAGGTCTTTTATTTTACATAATGAAACAGATCTAAAATACTGAACACGTGCACCATGAAGATGCTCAGGTTTCAATGAAGACATGACACTTATTAATGTAAAAATAACCAGAAATAATGTAAAAATCAAAACTTCCCAGAAAATGTGCCAACATTGCCCAAGCATCACTAGCAACTAAGAAAATCCAAATACACTCCTTTGCAATTCATCTTGAACTTCATCTAGTAATTCCCAGTTATTTCTACTGATAATGCTCCAAATAATCTCTTCCTTCTGACATTTACACTTTTCAATAGGGGTGCACCGATAAAGATTTTTCAGGGTGATATCAATGGCCAATTATTAACAAGGCATATCAGCTGATATGGATCTGACTGCCGATATGCATCCCGGCAGCTTGGAGAGCAGCATCTGGTTGGTAAGTCTGTGGGGGAGAAGGTGGGGGGGAAAGGTCACAGCCCCCATGGTGAGGCAGGGAGTGGGGCTTAGTGCTGGGGCAGGTACTATATAGTGAGGCAGGGCATGGTGTGGGATGGACCATGAGCAGCTAGTCCGGAGAGCGTGGGGCAGCTCCCACTGCTGGTGTATCCTGAGGAAGGCATGGAGGGACACGTGCCCCCTGGATCTGTGCACAGGGTGAGGGCAGGCTACTGTTGTGAGTTGGGGCCGGGAGTAGCACGCCAGGCTATTCCCGGCGGGGGGTTGGGCTGAGGCTGTGCATGAAGCAGGGGGCAGCAGTGCTGAGAGGGGATGTTATGGGGTGGACTACAGTCACCCTAGAATTTTCCATAGGCCCCCCCCGAACCCTCCTCCCAGTGACACTGCCACCCACCCTGCATATAGCCCCAGCCCAGCCCCCCTGCCAAAAAGAGCCCAACACCACCCCCACCCCACCCAGATCCAGGGGGCATATGCCCCTTTGTGCCTCCCCTAGGGTGTGCCAATGGCAGGAGCCACCCCTCGCCAAGCTGCTTGCAGCTCTGTCCTGCACCCTGCCCTGACTGGGAAGCGCCTGCCCCTGCCCCAGCTCCACTCCCTCCCTTACTGCAGGGCCTCGACCTGTCCTCCCATGCCCCTTCCCTGCCACAGACTTACCAGCTGGACACTGCTCTCCAAGCTGCTGGGCTGCATGCACACACACAGCATTTATTGGCAACGTTATCGTCCAAATCAGCCAAAAAAACGCTGATTACCAATAACGTCAATTTTGCTTTTATTGGTGCTGATACAATATGGACCCATGTATTGGTGCATCTCTACTTTTCAAACACCTGAAAGGTTTAGTTCCTTCAAATCCATTCCTTAGCCCAACTTTAGGTATTTAACTCAAATGTAGTAAATCAACCCTCCCACCCCTGTTAATTTTGGTGCTCCACTAAATTTGCAAATCTTTCTAACAAAATCCTCCAAATCTAACACTATGGCTGCTTACAACCTGCCCCCCCCAGCTTTACTGGAAGAAGTAGCATGTTAGTTCAACCCGGATCTGCAGCATCTGTATAGATTGGGTGCATCTGTGGGGCTTTTTGGAATTTTAATCTAAAGCTGGTTCAATCAGCTACTGGATAAGAGGCAAAAACGCCCCACTAAAGCACCCAATCTATATACAAGTTGGGCAAGCCAGGTCCAACTAACACGATGCCTCTTCTGGGCATGTGCTGGGCTTGGCATGGGAGCGCGCTGAGTTTAAAGAGCACATTTGTTTAATAACTCTTCTGGTATTTTGCCTGTCCTGACCCTGTAAGCATTTGCATGTACAGAGTTTAATGACATGTATTTATTAACATTTGTTTTATAACCTCACCCTCTCCTTTATTTTCACACAGTAATCTTCCCTCTCTAATCTGCCTGGGTTGATCTGTTTCGCTTAAGGAAAGACCTTAAATACTGACTAGGTCCCAAGTGCAAAGTTCAGATCACTTATGACCCAAAGTTACATACACATTCAAAATAACAAGCAAGTGTATTAGAAATCAGAAGCAAAAGGCATGTACAGATCAGGAAAGGGGGGCAGCAAGGTCTGAAATAGCAAGGGATGCTGTGAACCTAGATGGAGATGAACTAACAAGGTTATATGATGGAAGCTAGAATGGATCTCTGCCTAGACCCTAGTAGGTTTTGTCCCAGGCCACTTGTCACTCCTTTACAATAGCCCTGCATCTGAAAAAATCCTATCCCTGCTATCCAACAAACTCCCTCAGTCAACAAGATAGAGTTAAAATGGTGACTTTCAAGCTTTTTAGATTCAAGGCACCCCTCAGAAATGTCATCTCTTAACTTTCACTTATTTTTCTATAGGCAAAAAACAAGAGAGTAATTCTGTTATTGATAGGTCAGAACACCAGTGTTACAAAAAACCCTGATGAGTCAATCCTAGAAAAGTCAAAAGAATCTGTATTTCTCCCTGTACAGGAAAAACACAACATGGCTTTCAAGTAGTATACATGGTGATCTGGATAAAAAAGTAAGTACTTACAACAGTTGTATTTCCTTCAGTAACTTCCACAACTGCAGAAATAAAGAGGGAAAACAAGGTCACAGACTTGTTCAAGCTGGAGTATGTGATTTTTTATCAATAAATTATCCAAAACCATACGGGACTCTGATACCAAAAAACAATGCAACTTCGCAACAAAGCACACCACTGCTCTACTGGAAGGCAGAGTAGCATGCAGTTCTTTCAAACTGGGGACCTCTTATTTGATTGCTATTCTTGCAGTGTCTTTATATTTTCTTCAAATTTTTAAACTTTCCAGATGATTTCTAGTTGAAAGTTACCTGGATGCTGTTAGTTTTGATTTGAGAAGTCAGCAGAGACCAGCACAAACAAAAGCAATCTGAAAATACCCATGCATTTTACTTGCCTACCCAGATTCCAATTCTTTCCTAGTTAAAGCTTCTGCATATAGCAGCTGCAGCTTTCTTGCTCTCCTAATTGCAAAAGCACTTAGAATGGGGACCAATGCCTTACTTACTTCAGATGGGCCAGACCGAAAGAACAGAACTGTTGTGTCAACTTCTCCCACTCATAGCTATGGATAAGTAAAACTGAAATCCTTAATTCTTGCTAGTGTTAGAATGATGATGTAGCCGTGATGGTCCAGAAATTATGCTAGTGGCAAGGATTTGTTACAGGGCTATCTTCCATCAGACCAACTGCATAGGTAGGATAAGAGTTAGACAAGTTTTCAAATCAAAGGCATTCTTCCTTAGGTCTGCGCAGTAAAAATCAACATACCATAGTCTTTCCTAATTTGTGCAATTCTGAAGACAACAGATACTCACTGCTATTTCACATTGGTTACTAATGTGTTCCTTTGACTGTAATACCTAAATTAGTAATAGATTTTTTTTTTCTTTCCAACACTGGAGAAGGAAAAGATTATCTTCATTTTATGGCTGGGGATGGGAGAAATTAAGTGGCTTAATTGCACAATAATGTGCAAAGCAAGACCAGCCACAAGTGCAAAGTAATTATTGCACCATTAACTGGCAAATCCCATAATAAATGTAGACCAGCCACACGTGCAAAGTCATTATTACACAATAAAAATGACTCGCCAGCTATAAAGAGACAATCTGTTATGAAATTAGTACATGGAAATGCATCATGACTCTAAAGCTGCTTTCTAACCAGCTTTCATTTGAATACAGGTTTCTCTTGCTTTATGCAGGGCCTGTATGTATGAATTTGCTCTTATGTGATGACCCTTTTTATACCAAAAATTCATTATATGCAAGGTAAATTCACTCTTACATGATTGGTGTGGTGGAAGCCCGCAGTCAGCTGCTTTATGTGGTGGACTGTGGGAGTGACGCACACCAAAATACAGTCTCCTGTGTAGATTTGTGCTCCTCGCTTGTTGTCTGTGACATGCGTTTCTGTAGTTGCGATCCCCATGATGATAATGCCCTGTGTTTGTGTGTACCGTCTGCTGTTGGCGAGTACCAAATGTGTCTAAAAGTGGTAGCAATGGATCTGGGGGTCAGCACAGTTGAGGTCTTGGAACATATCCCTATCTGTTACATTGTAAAGTGGGTTCGCTTTATGCAAATTCGAGTGATACGCCGTTTTCCAGGAAGGCATGCACAGAACAAAGTGAGGGAAACCTGTAGGTAGCAGGGCCCCTAGTACCGCACTCTTCAGCCAGACTCTTAGCTGTGCATTTAACACCTGCAATACGATGTGAGGGGGCCCTACTACACGGTCAAGTGAAAGCTGGACAGAAACCAGCTATAAAGTCGTTACACATTTTCAAGCACTAGCTCGGTAGCCGCTGTCTCTCTTTATAGCTGGAGAGTCCATTTTATGGTGCGGTAATGACTTGGCATGTGTGGCAGCTCTACAATGATTGTGTGCCTCGCTAGTTATTGATGGGATAATTGCTTTGCATGGGCAGAGTTTAAATTTATTGCGCAATTGACATACATAACATATGTAACGTGTGGCAGGGGCCTCAGGACCTCGGCTTGTGGATCAACAGCCCAGCTTGCGACTACGGGATACAAAGGCCAGCCTCTGCAGGAGACAGGAGAGGCCACTAAAGGGGGCAGGGCTTGTCACGAAGCGCCCAGCCCTTAGCCCCGCCTCCCTCTCGCAGGTAACTCTGGCAACCGCCTCGCTCCAGGGCTTCTCCCCCCTCTCATCACAACGTCATCAAAGCGCGACGCCCCCATGCGTCAGTGCTTCCACAGGCCCCTCTAGAGATCTCCGCGCCCGAGGCACCCCGTGCAGGTCTGAGGAGCATGCGCAGTCGGGGGGAGGGGAGCCGACTCTGGGGGTGTCTGAGCGCCTGCGCGGCCCAGCCCAACCTCCCCCCGGCAGGCACCGACCCCCTAGGACTCACCCTGCCGGAGCCCGCGGGCCGGGAGCCGGGCGGCGGCGCCGCCCCAGAAGAACCCGGAGAGCAGCCGGTTCCACCCCACACGCAGCAAGCTGGGCGCCGCCATCTTGGAAACGGGCGTGACCTCACTTCCACTTCCGGGGCGCCCGCACCTCCAGCCTGGGCGGGAAGGAGGCGCAGTCGCCGGCGCCATTTTGGTGCGGGCTTCGCCTCCTCGGGCTGGATAGTGAAAACTCCCCCCTAGTGCCCTGACTGCGAAGCCAGGCTCTCTGCGGCAGTTCCCCTCAATAAGGATCACCCCCCCACCCTACATCTTCCCCAGCAGGAGGCACCGTCTGTCCTTCCATACACCCCTTCCCGCCGCCAGGGGCTCTGGTGCTGCTGCGGGGGAGCGCGAGGGTTTACAGGCCTCCTACTCCCCGCCTGCTCCGGTTGTCCCGGCTTTATATGGATGATTTGTGGCCGGGGTTCCTTGGCGCTTGATGCTTTTGAGGGTGCCACCATTTCGGTATGGTTTGGTGTGCCGTGAACAAGGTTTCAGGATAAGCCCAGAGATTTCAAATAGGAATCCAACGTGTTACTCCCGTTCTGACCTGTTCCAGCCTTTCTGAGATCTTTGCGGCAGAAGAATCGCTCTGTTGTTTTTTTCTGGGACGGTTGCCAGCCATCCAGGATTGCCCTGAGATTAGATATCTCCAGAAGACTGCTGAGAGTCACCTGGGAGATCAGTGGTAGGGTGTTCATTAAAATAAATATTAAACGTTGAATCCAATTTATACGGTAGTCCAGTGGTTTTTTTTTTAAAAATGTAACGAACATGCATCTGCCTTCCTGATGGAAAGTCTGTGCGTTGTAATCCATAACTGATACACGCCAGCACGCAGGCTCATTCGTGTTGTGTGTCTGGGAAAATTGGTGTTCCGGAAACCTGGAATAGATTGAAAAAAAATCGCTTTTTTTTCTTATGTATTTTTAACTATTTTTTGGTAGTCAAAAAGCACGTCAGAACCAGGAGCTGGCATTTTCTGAGGGGTGCCTCAAGTGGGATAATAAGGAATAACGGCCACAAATTGATTGAGAGCAGGTTCAGGCTTGATATCTGGAGGCATTACTTTATGGTTAGGGCTGCCAGGCTCTGGAATGGGCTCCCAAGGGAGGTGGTGCTCTCCCCTACCTTGGGGGTCTTCAAGAGGAGGTTGGCTAGATATCTGGCTGGGGTATTATGATCCCAGCACTCGTTCTTGCCCAGGGCAGGGGGTTGGACTTGATCTGTTCAGGTCCCTTCCGACTCTAGAAGCTATGAAGTGCCAAAAGGTTAAGGACCACTGCTTTGTGAGCATGAGGCTTTACAGTAGTAGGAGATTGTCTTGCTTGTCCAAGCTTTAGACCGCTGGTTCTCAACCAGGTGCCTTGAGATCCTTTCACGGGCACCACACAGTGTTGGTGTGGTCAGGTGTGCAAACACAATTTACAAGATAAACCCAGAGATTTTGAATAGGAATCCACTGTGTTAAAACCGTTCTGACCTGCTGTGCTGAGTTATTTGCAACAAAAAAACTGCTGTAGTATATTTTTTTGTAGTAAAAAAAGGAGTGAAAGCTAAGAGCTGGCATTTTTGAAGGGGTTCCTGGAGTCTAAGGATGGATGCCTCGAGTCTAAAAAGGTGAGAACCACTGCTGTAAACCCTATTGCCAAGCAAAACATTAACCCATTTCTGGTGCAGGAATAGTTGCCCTATGGGGAGTTGGCTTAGGAGCGTGATTAGATGCAGATACCACATTTTTATGAGTTTTTTAAATTACATTTTTTCTCTGTAAAAGATGTATGCTGGTAAGCAGGATCTGGCTGCACAAAACTGATGGGAAAGTTTGTACAATATCTTAAATTAGATCCAGTCTATGCAAATTTCCTTCTCCCTGCAGGCTTGCCACAAAAGGACAGAAAAGCAAGAAGGCAGAGACTGCTTTTCAGATGAAGTGGAGAGCAACAGTTGGGCAATGCAATGGTAGCTCAGCACTAAAAAGGACAAGGAGGCAAACAGCGTGGGAGCTTTTCAAGAGCTTCTTGAGATAATTTTGACCCTTGGCTAGAGATGTCTAGGCAACACTGTTGGGAAGCCGCTGGTCCTACAAAATGAGGCTAATAGTTGTGTAGATACAGTATTTAATTTGTTTTCCTTGCCCTCTCCAATAGCTTACCCCCAACTTCCTGGAGGAATTTAATTAGTACACATTTTAATGCAGAAAAGAATATTAGTTATGTTCATGCCAATTTTTGGGCGGACTATATTTTTTCCTCCTAGTGTTTACTTAATCTGAGAGCATTTTCTACAATAACTGTTAACAGTGTAGATTGTACAGTCCCAAGGATGCAAACAAATGATGTGCCAATTTGGGTAGAGGCCCGTTTTATCTTTCCGAGTTTGGAAATTTGTCATACTTCTGATTTCTCACAGTTTGGAAGCGGTTAGTTTTTGGAGTGGTTACCAAATTTGTTCATCTTCTTAAGCCCTTGTATTTAGGGAAGAAGAGAAGTAACATGGAATATCATCTATGTTGCAACAAGGGGAAAAGAAACGGAGGCTTTTTCTCAAACTTCTAACTAGCGACCATTCAGCTCTGGGCTAAGACCCTGTTAGTACTAACTCAAGCCATGCCTGGTCAGTACTTGAATGAGAAATCATCAAGGAAAACCTGTAGGACGCAACAAGTGACGGTGTTCATTCAGAAGTGAATGCTGTTCCTTCTAACTTAAAATGAAACCAATGCACAAAGGTGGTGTGTGTTTGGTAGGATGAAGATAGCAGCAGTGAAATGCTGTGTTTTACATGAGCTGAGAAACTGAGTTCCTGATTGCTTAGAGTGTTTAAAGATTTCATGGCTCATTCCTCAAAGAAAGGACATTACTTTTAGCAAAGTGTTGTGCAGTTTTCTAGGTGTCAGAAATGCTGGTGTGAGGCTTTATTTTCCTTGTCTGAACTAGCTTCTGTGTGTCTGTATTTAAAGGGTTGTTGTTTTGCTGTGTTTCACATTGATTTCCCATATTATTGCTTTCCATTTTCACCTGTAGGGCAGCTGGCCTGACCTTGCCAGTGGATGGCGTGAGTCTCCTCTGTATCAATACCTCCTTGTAAATGGCAAGATGCATGATTAAGAAGGTTGAGGCTCTTCCAGTCAGTCCTGATCAAAGAAATGAAGACATTAGACATGGAAAACCCTATTAGGTCATTTAGTTTCCACACACACCCATGGCCCACCCAGGTTTGTTCTCCACAGTATATTTTCCTGAAGGGGTCACTGCAGGTCAGCATTCAGCACTTGGATCCAGAAAAGCCCCTCCGACAGTTAGGAAACCTTTTGAATTTGCCAGTGAGTTGGTTGCAAAATATTGTTGTCTGCAATTGTTATCATAAATCATATTATGATGCTCCAGAGCAGAATGATCAGAGGCAAAAGAAAAGTGGTTTAAGATGGAAGACTGATTTTCCAATATTTTAAATTAGGCAACTCATTCTGTTTCTACAATATTATTTGTTAACAATATGTTAACAAAATACAAACTTCTTAAAATAGTACCATAATTTTAAAGACCATCCCTTGCCACTTAATCTGTATTACAGCATCCCTGCTCCAGGCAGCTGCCCACTAGCAGGGAAGGGGGCAGTGCAGACGAGAGCGAGAGAGAGGTTATTGACTCTTACCCTAAGGCAAAACTGGCACTTTGAATAATAATCACAGTACATTTTTGTAGTTATTTTTATGGTATCTATATATGCTACAAATCAAATAGTCACTTAATTTTGCAAATACTTTTGGAAAAGTAAAAGACTAGGAGTGTATTTTATACATTGTGTTTTATTTATAGTCCTCACTACTTCCATAGAAATGTTATCAGTTAATGTTACTCTTAGTTAAGTATCATTTAGCCATTCCAGCCAAGTGCAGTGGTAGCAATGGTCCAATTCAACAAATAGCTTAATAGTCCATAGGCCACTACAGTTCATAAGCTGTTCTGAGCATTGATGAATAACCCTCATCTGGGTTACTGTGAGGTTTGTTTCACAAACAAGGGTCTGGTGTGCAGGTAGAAGTTAATATAGACTGGCAGCATACCTTAAATGCTTAGACTTTTGCAGAACTGGCAATCATTTTCCTCTTACGGAACAGAGCGGGGAAGATGAGAGGGGAGGTTATTGAGACAGAAATGGGGAATTAGGGTTATGAAATGATGATGGAAGGCAGAAAATCAGGAGGAAGATACTAGGAAGGGAGGGGAGATGGCACTACAAGTGAACAACTTACTTGAAAACAACTTGTTTATATTTCCAAGGTTTTCTTCTTTTCCCAATGGATACAGTTATTTTTCAAAGTAAAATAACGAAGTAATAATTTCATTACATTTTCCTTCCAAGATTTCAATCTAAGTATAAACAAGTACAATCCAGTGGGGAACTCAATCCAACGTCCTTTTGCAATAGCACTTCAGCCTGAAAGTTTTTTCTCTATTATATATTTCAGCTGCTACTGTCTGTGGCTTCTTTAACTGACATCAACTGACATGTCTCAGAGAAAGTTTTCTCAGGTGGAAGAGGCTTTTTGATCCCTGAAGTTTCTTTCTGGCTTCTGAGATTTTCATAATTAAAAAAATACCTATGGCTTTTGTCAGCTTTTGACTTTTTTGTATGGGCAAGCAAACGTGATGGCACCAGCTGAACGAGTTGCCTTGTGAATCTTGACTTCTGCCACTCTTAAAACTTAGATTGTATGAGAGGATGATAGAGAACAGAAACTGAGCTACAACACTGAAGCAACCAGACCAAAGAACTCTCAACAAGCACTTGAGTTTCTCTAGGAGCAATGAGGTTTCTTTCTTTTCCAGCCCAAGTGAAAAAAAGGACTTAAAAAAATAAACAATAAAAAAACAGAGTTGAGTTCATAATGGTCCACTCCGGCATAGCAGCTGCTGTACTGTAGTTTGTCCATTGTTATCAAAGCACAAGCAACGTTAATTTGCAGATAAAATGGGTACATAAAGATTAGCTGGTCTATAAAATGATGTCTGTGGTATGTGATCTTGTGTCTTGAGACATTTCCATATCTCTTGCTCTTTTCACTGTGACCCCTTTATGACTATTAAATGGCATGATAAAACTGCATTACCAATGACCATATTGGGAGTTCTGACAAAAATGAGGCAGGGTGGTGACAGATGTTTAGCTTTACTTCAGCAAGAGGTGTGTTCAGGGATGAGTTCAGGAAGGGAGCAGAAATCCACTTGGTCCTCCAAGTGTCCTCAGACATCATTGTGTGTGTGTGTGTGTGTGTGTGTGTGTATATATATATATATATATATATATATATATATTTCATGTGGGCTGAATCTTATGTTTGTCCCTCACTGAGGGCCTCGGAGGGCCAAAACCAGTAATCTGCTATAGGAGTGGATTTTGAAGTAGAATCATCTTCCCTTTTGTTATTACTAAAGTCCCAAATGCACCTATGAGGTCCTCCAGGCAATGTGTGCAAATCCAACCATCCCCTAGCTTTCTTTTTGGTGGTCTTATATCACCATAGAAACTGCTTCTCTGAATATCACTGCTGTGCCGAGTCTGTGCTAGCTCCCAATAACTTTCTGGGTGCAATTCAAGGTGCTGACTTTGACTAATAAGGCCCTAAATGGTATGGGACTTATGTACATTAAGT